TGTTTACCACTGCATTGGAAGACGCTTTCAAGCTCTTGGAATGGAAAGGATCTGGCATCAACATCAACGGCGAGTACATCACTCACCTCCGGTTTGCCGACGACATTGTAGTCATGGCAGAATCGCTGGAGGATCTGAGCACAATGCTCGATGACCTCTGTAGAGTTTCTCAACAGGTAGGGCTCCGAATGAACATGGACAAGACGAAAGTCATGGCAAACGCCCATGTCACGCCCTATCCGATATCAGTTGGGAGTTCTAACCTCGAAATTGTTGACGAATATGTATACCTGGGACAAGTGATCCAGCTAGGTAGGTCCAATTTCGGGAAGGAGGTCAATCGTCGAATCCAACTTGGATGGGCAGCGTTCGGGAAACTACGCAACATCTTCTCGTCCAACTTACCTCAGTGCCTTAAGATGAAAGTCTATAATCAATGTGTGTTACCAGCGATGACCTATGGAACTGAAACGTGGTCTCTTACTGTGGGCCTTATAAAGAAGCTCAAGGTCGCTCAGCGCGCTATGGAGAGGGCTATGCTCGGAGTTTCTTTGCGAGACCGTATAAAAAACGAGGATGTCCGCAAACGAACAAAGGTTTCCGACATAGCCCAGCGGATTAGTAAGTTGAAGTGGCAATGGGCAGGGCACATAGCGCGTAGAACCGACGGCCGCTGGGGCAGAAAGGTTCTCGAGTGGAGGCCACGTACCGGCAAGCGCAGCGTAGGACGTCCAACCGCAAGGTGGACAGACGACCTGATTAAGGTCGCAGGAAGCCGCTGGATGCAGGTCGCTTCCAACCGGCCTATCTGGAAGTCAATGGGGGAGGCCTATGTTCAGCAGTGGACGTCCTGTGGCTGATATGATGATATGATGATGATGATGACCTCGGCACAGAGCAGGAGAAGGAACAGGGGGGTTTTAGTCAGTAAGAGTCTGACACCTCCTCCTGCCCGGCCCTGGGCGGGAGAAGTCATTTGATGATATTCCCCTCACAAAAAAAAAACTATAATGCTACCTATATCTACCAACATTAGGTAATAAGTATAATTTTCCGTTTACAAATTTGCGTTTCCACGTAGCCACATCATAAACAAACTAAAAGATAGGATTTCAAGTCGTTATGCACTGAGTGCGTTATTTTGAAAAATAAAAAGATTAATGAACATTATTTTTCGAGAACAAAGAAAGACGTGAGAGTATGTTTTGTAGCTGCTGTTCATAGCTAACCTACCAAATTAAAGCAGTATGCAATATCCAATTGATATAGGTAATAATATTAACTCCTTGACACACTTTGGAGTACATAATGTAAAATAATGTAAAGTAATAAATATCTGTTCAAATTCGCTGTTATTTATCAATTCTAAGATAATTTCAAGGAGAGATTTTACTACTATGCCTTATTATTTGTATGTAAGTATACAATAGCTGAGTTATGGTTGGCATTACTTAGTAGATCTATAGGCCTAAAAACATGTGCAATATCTTAACTCAATTAGTAGTAGGTACACATAAATTTCAAATGTATTTAACTGGCGTAGTGACCGTTGTTTCGGGCCTGGCTGTGACACGTTTTTAAACTTGTATGTTCAAATACAAAAGAAAATGCTAAGCATTTTTATAAATAAACCAAAACTATAGTATATCTAATAATATAGTAGGTACTTAGTATTTTTTTAAGGGAACTATCACCATGGTCCTTCTTCGGCCCTAGAAAGGGAGGGAGTGTCAGACTCTCATTGACTGAATCCACCCCATTATTTCTTCTGCTCCAATCCGAGGCCATGGTACATTATTGCTATTTGGTTTGACGTTGCATAGAATAAAGTAGCTAACATGAGTAATAGTTAAGTTAATATCTATAATACTAAGATAGGTATATATTATCCAAATCCAAACTAATAGGTATTATAAATGTGAAAGTCTGCCTTTCCTTCACGCCTACTCTACTGAGACGATTTCTGTTAAATTTGGTAGGTACAGACATAGTTTGGAACTAGAGAAAGGACATAGAATAGTTTATAAAACCAAAAATCTGCAGGAAGTAATATTCCACGCGAACGGAGTCGCGGAGTAAAGCTAGTAGTTAATAACTATAATACTTAGGTACTACTTAGGTGTCTTTTCCAAGATGTCGTTGTACGATTGTGATCTTGTAACAATTGTACAACTTGAAGATACTGAGACAAAACATTGTTCGGTCTGTAAATATATAATGGCGACTAACTAAGGCAAGATATTGTTGAGTTTATAAATATGTCGACAAAGTAGGTACTACATTCATGAATAACATGGATTTCATTCCAAATGGCACAAAGACATCATGTCATAAGAAAAGGAATCTATACCTATGTGAAACTGATTTAAAAAGATTAACCATGGAGTTTCTTGCTCGTTCTTCTCCATCGGAATCTACACTTTGAAACGAGCAAATAGCTCCACTAAGAGGACTGACCAACAGACTGACACTATATCTTCAAAATTTTGTTTGACGTTCAAAAGTGCCTGTAAGGGTCTAATTGAAATACTTAAATGATTTTTGACTATTGACTTTTTTTGACATGAGTTGCTCGTTGTATTGAGTGCTGAATTAGATATTGTAGTCTTTACGACATGATCGCTCTGCTCTTTAGGTACGACCTGTGTTTGAATCAAGGGTTTGGCAAAAGGCGGGTTAAGTCTACTAAAAGTCAACAGAAGCATATCCCCATACTTTTAAGGGTATCCAGATTAACCTGTATTTTCTATTCCGTGAGATTAACTAAGTATCTCATTCCTACTCGATACTTTGTAAATAATAATATAGGGTTTAGGCAAACGTTAGCTTTCTAGGTTAGGATTTCAGATCAAAAATGTAGGTAGGTACATTCAGAAACCGGAATGATAGCTTAGGTACAAACAAAATGTTCAACTAGGCGCAAAAATATCTTATTTTTCCAACTGAAAACCAAACTTAACCTTCTATAGCGTTTGAATTTATGTATAGCATTTGTATTTATCATCATTATCAGCTGGAAGATATCCACTGGTAAACAAAAGCCTTACCACCACTTCATACCACCACCACCACTTCACCACATCGAACAACATCCCTCCACATACTTCCATTGGCTACCCGTGACTCTGACAATGTGTTTGGTCCACCTACGCCGGAGACCTGTCCGACCGATGGGTCTTTCTAGGCCCATCGGTCGCCAATTGGCACATATTTTACGATTTTAGCCCCTTTCTCTATCAACCTACAGATTTAACAAGCTATGTCGGTAACTGGTTCTTAGACGAATTTCCATATTACCGTGTACCTTACTTTCGCAACAGTCCTTGTGCGGACTGGCCGTATAAAATTCCGAATAAAAAAGCTGTACGTATGAAGGTATGCTCTAGTCTTAGGCATGGAATTCCGAATATGGATCCTAAATCGGAAACCTAACATTAGCGACCGGTCTCACAATCTGTCTATTAATACCTAAGTACCCATTGAAATACCGTTTGGCTGCCATCTACTTAAATAGGTACGAGTTGATTATTTGTCGTTTTTCATTCCATTGTAGCTCTAGGCGCATGGGTGCATGGCATATCTCTACATTTACACCTAAGGGTTACTGAACTGTTGCGAGCTGTTGCATTTATTATCTGTGGCAAGTTGGCCAATTGTAATCGTAGCAACGCAGTATTCTTTTTTTTTGTTAAAATATCATAGTCTAACTAGCTTGTTGAATTTATACTTTTATACTAATTTACCAAATATTTAGAAAATAGTCGCTTGAAAAACGCAATGACGTAGGTACTGCGGTCCAGCTCTAAGCAGGAAAAGGAACAGGGTGGTTTTGGACAGTCAGTCGTTCCATCTGACACACCCATTTAGGACGAGAAAAAATTAGATGGTGATGACGGCGACCATGGCGGGAAAAGAAAAAAAAAACAAAACAGGTTTACTGAACTCATGTTACTTTTATAATCCGTTTATTTATTTACACTTGTTTGTAAATGGTTGGATTTCAAAATACTAATATAGATATATTATTTATGTATGACGAAACAAAACTGATGAATCCTCTAAAAACAATAGAAATGATTAATTAATCATAAAAACAAATAAAATGCTTGAGGTATTCATTCTTTAATTTTATAAAGTTCATAATATGTCTGGCCACTAAGAGAATTAGAGTATCGTTGTTATCGGACGTCGACCCTTAAAACGACTTCTAGTTCAGATAACTTTAAGAGGTCTAGACGTAACTAGAGTGCAGCACCTAAATGTATATATTCATTTTGAGTCATAACTACCAAGACTGTCCACCAAATATTCGTGTAATTACGACACTTAAAAATGGAAATGTATGTTGCTTTACCCTAAGTGTGGGAGAGCCAAGCTTCGGCACGAATGGGTCGGCTCGACCGGAGTGATACCACGGCCTTGCAGTAAACCGGCGTGAAACAACCACAGCGTTGTGTTTCGCCGTGTGAATGAGGTTTCCGGAAGCCCAATCCCTCCCCCTTCCCCCATCCCTTCCCAATCCTTAGAAAAATATCTGAAACTTTTATCCCTAAAAGGCCGGCAACGCACTCGTAACACCTTTGATGTTGAGGGTGTCCATGGGCGAAGCTGATTGCTTACCATCGGGTAATTCGTCTGCTTGTATGTCGGCATACAACGTATACCTTAAAAAAATCCCTCGAGGAGCGAACTGAAAGACAGTTTTCTTACGTACCTTTTCTGTAGTAAAATTTCAAAACATTTTCCTAAAATAACTTCCAAGGTAAAGACCAAAGTTTACCGCCTCTGTCTGCATCAATTATTCGTGAACCATCGTCCACATTGAATCGATTGTGAAATGGGTCACTGTCATAAACACAGCCGATACTTACGGACCATTACGCGCGGTCATCAAAGCTTTACTGTATAAATCACTTTATTACATAATTTTTAAACCATTTGTAAACAATATCCATTGATTTAAGGCCTATTTTAGCCTGTACTATCCAACAAAAAGCTCAAAATGAAACACCAGCAAGTAAGTGTGGATTACTGGGCAATGCTGAAGTCTATGCTAATGTATGGAGTGCTGACTGCTTTGGGTTGGTTTATGTTGAGACTGTTTAATGCTGTGTTCTCTCTGCCACGGAGATTGAGGACCCAACAAGAGAACATACAGGCTACTTTGGAAGAATTCCAGGTATGTTAAAAGAAATAGATTTTAAGAAAGTTTTATTATATTAACCTCTCTTCTGCCGGTATATGAAATACAGTAGAGAATACATTGTGTCTCGCTACCAGTGGGAGATCTTAGAACTGTAAGTTGTCCGAGTAGCTTGGGTGGTTTTAAATCTGTCATCTTTCCTCTCTTTCTCTTCCCAAGCCAATACGTTTTTTACAAAGACAAACTTTTCAATATAAGAGCTAAATCTTAGAGTTAAGTCTTGACTTTCCGTCGGTTAGCCAGTTAAGCTATTTACTTTGTTAATGTAAATTTGTATCGAGAGGAACAAGTGAGAAACTCCATAATTCCAGGGTAAACCTGCGAACAAAAAGTTTATAATTAATGTTATTATGAACTAAACTCTACGCTCATCAATATTTATAAATTTGATGCACCTAAATATCTTTGTTATTTGTTCTATTAAGAGTACCTACCTGAATATCGGTATCTATATGATGCAATGAAAATTTATATTCAAAACTAGCGGCCTACCCCCGCTTTGCACGGGTCCAACTATCTCGCTAACACCGAAAGGATCCTTTTTCCCCAATTCTACCCTCTACTTTTCTAATATTTTCTTTCATTAGAACCTTCTCCTGACTATAATAAATACATAACAAAATGATATGTCAAAATTGCTCCAGGCGTTTTTGAGTTATGCGCTTTCCAACACATTTTGCGATTCATTTTTATATTATAGATTATCTAGAACCATTTTTGCATACTTCCTTAATGCCAATATTTTACAGCGACGGTATCCAGATCTGAATGTGACGGAAGACGACATAAAAAACGCTGAGAAAGAATTGGAAGAATGGAATAAAGAAATGGACGAAAAAATTAAAAATCAGGAACAAGTAATCAAAAGTAAATGTGAGACCGATGGTATCTGTGAAAAATGTGATGAACCAGTAGCCCAAGAAGGTTCAGAAGAAAAGAAAACTAAATAATTTATAGCAAACAAAGTACAGGCGTTCGTCCTTCAAGTCTACTTCAAATCGATAAAATGTTCACATTAAAGATTTATTATTTCTAAATTACTTAATAAGTAGAACACGATATCTATGTAAGTATATATAATTCAAATGCTGCAAATGTCCAAATGGGCCAATAACCTACCTATATATTTAAGTACCTGCCTACTTACTGTAATATTTTTATCGACAGTATTAAACGCAGTATAGTAATAGATAATATAATTATATTGATTAAAAACACGATATTTTACATTAAAGCATAATACTTCTTACTTTACAATTAATTTCATTTTCTTTATTTTAAATCTGCCAATAAGATTGTGACTAAATTAGGCGGCTGCGCCAATTAGGTCTTACTATTCTGTGCAATAGGTACTTAATTCACTTCCAGTGTTCATAGGCATTAAAATTAAAATCAATAGATTATGCATTAGGTATTCTTTTATTTTGTTTGACATTGTGACATGAATTCGATTAATTTTACAGAAATCATTACATCAGTCATATAAAACTATAAATTTTACTACAACCTTACCATGTGATAGTCTTCATAAAACTCAAATTACTCGGCCTTATCTACACCCGTAACATCAACTTACAAAATATCTGATTCATGTTTCACAGTCATTTCACATTCTTTAATTATTTTAAAGTATCTAACGAGGACTCGCTCTTATATTTAGATATCAATTATATCCTTATGTACACAATGATGTTTTTATAAGATACTGGGTAAAGTTTATTTCTAGATTAAATCCTCTTTCTTGCAAAACACGGTGAACTTGGTGATTTGAGTTTGTATTAAAAACAAATGCAGAAAACATGCTACGTGTCAGATAGCTTGTAGTTACTAAGTTCCCCATGTCAACTTTGAAATTCATGTTGAAATCTTAATAGAAACTTAATCCATGAAACCTCAAGTGAAAGCTGGCGTTCGCGAACCTTTTGTCTTAGTATTGTGTTTCGAATTACCACGAATGTTTCCTGTTACTTTTATTGGGCCTAAGTTCACCAAGAATTGTTTTTATAATGATTGCGGTATCAACTGTTTAATAGATAACATTTTAAATGAGTAGCATTTTATATTTGGTTTGCGCTTACAAAATACTTAGAGCGATTTGTAATTATTGAATGAAGATTTCAGAATTTTGTAAATTATTTACTTGAAATTCAACCTTATCTCCACACCGTAATGCATTACTTTGGAGTTCTGAAGACACGCGCGTACTTCCGCACGAACACCTAAAATTTACGCGCGTTAGTGTCGAGTTAAAAGTATTAATGTTGCGCGTTCGCCTATTAACCTACCATCTCAGCTGTACTCCCACATAATAAAAGGTGAAGTCATGCAACTAAAACATAATAAACCTAACTCTACTAGCTTATCATCCCTGACTAATCTTCGTACAAATGATGCTCATGATTGCAAATACGAAATCTAATGAACTATGATATTCCTTTAATAATGATGAAACGTAGATTACCTACACCGCCATTGGTTTGCAGTGTTAAGGTTGGCCAAAAACATAGTGTATTTTTATTAATACTGATATGCACTAAGCCAACCTGGACAATCTTGAATAGAATATCATTCAGATTATTATTAGACAATCTTGAATGTTAATTCTATTAAAACAAAAGATGCAACAACGAATGCAATTGTTGTAAGTAGGCCACAAAAAAGTAACTCTACACGCCAATATAATAAAAAAAATTTAATGAAGTCGACATTTCCTATCTGACTACTCTGAGAAGAAATGCCGATATGAACTCGAAAATCTGTGTTTTTAAAGACTATAGTATAAAGATTATTTTCACCCAGTGCCTCAACTCGAAAAGCAAATTGAGCTTCACTAGGCCGATTTTTATTCTGTGTAAACATGTTAGAGTGGTTTTTTTTGTGTATAGCTAGCTCTTTCTCACATGGCAGCATCCATCCCATAAGCAAATTGCTATTCTGGAAATGGTAAAATCGCCTCAAAAGTCATTTTCCAAAACACCATGAAAGTCAGACTTAAAAAAACCGATTAAAGGACTCAAAATATCCTTCTCAATATTAGTCATCACATGTAGCGCATGGCGCTAGTGTCGATTTCGGACGAAACTAATTTAACCGCAGACTTAAAAGTGACTTTGCAAAAAATCTTTCAGAACAGTACTACCAGTTGTGTGCAATCTTATAAGATGCACTTCCTACATTATGACGCCATGTGTAATTAGTGAGTGAGTGAATATTTTATCGTCCAAGTGATTATTACCTGTTTAAGCGGCCTTCAATCACTTAGGTACTAAGTATTAATGTTTATTCGTTAATTTGTTGTAGTATTCTGAATTCATATAATGGAGTGTAAAAAATGTTGATTTAGCTAAGAAATAAAACTAAGTATAAAAAATCGTCCAATATCTAGGTACCACGATTATATTATTATAACAACCTGTTAGCACGAACAACTGTTTCGTGGGTTAAGGAGTAGGTACAGCATCAGACTCAATCCTCAGATCAAAAGATGAGTACCTAAGCATAGATAAGTGCCTATACATATCTAGACTAATATTATAAAGAGGTAAGTTTATATGTAGGGGGTAATATTTAGAACCGCTCTGGTTGGATATCCAAAATTATTTCACTGATAGATAGCTACAATATTGAGTCCTATAGGCTACAAGTTATACTTGATTTACGTATTTTACGATTATATTATTATAACCACCTGTTAGCACGAACAACTGTTTCGTGGGTTAAGGAGTAGGTACAGCATCAGACTCAATCCTCAGATCAAAAGATGAGTACCTAAGCATAGATAAGTGCCTATACATATCTAGACTAATATTATAAAGAGGTAAGTTTATATGTAGGGGGTAATATTTAGAACCGCTCTGGTTGGATATCCAAAATTATTTCACTGATAGATAGCTACAATATTGAGTCCTATAGGCTACAAGTTATACTTGATTTACGTATTTTACGATTATATTATTATAACCACCTGTTAGCACGAACAACTGTTTCGTGGGTTAAGGAGTAGGTACAGCATCAGACTCAATCCTCAGATCAAAAGATGAGTACCTAAGCATAGATAAGTGCCTATACATATCTAGACTAATATTATAAAGAGGTAAGTTTATATGTAGGGGGTAATATTTAGAACCGCTCTGGTTGGATATCCAAAATTATTTCACTGATAGATAGCTACAATATTGAGTCCTATAGGCTACAAGTTATACTTGATTTACGTATTTTACGATTATATTATTATAACCACCTGTTAGCACGAACAACTGTTTCGTGGGTTAAGGAGTAGGTACAGCATCAGACTCAATCCTCAGATCAAAAGATGAGTACCTAAGCATAGATAAGTGCCTATACATATCTAGACTAATATTATAAAGAGGTAAGTTTATATGTAGGGGGTAATATTTAGAACCGCTCTGGTTGGATATCCAAAATTATTTCACTGATAGATAGCTACAATATTGAGTCCTATAGGCTACAAGTTATACTTGATTTACGTATTTTACGATTATATTATTATAACCACCTGTTAGCACGAACAACTGTTTCGTGGGTTAAGGAGTAGGTACAGCATCAGACTCAATCCTCAGATCAAAAGATGAGTACCTAAGCATAGATAAGTGCCTATACATATCTAGACTAATATTATAAAGAGGTAAGTTTATATGTAGGGGGTAATATTTAGAACCGCTCTGGTTGGATATCCAAAATTATTTCACTGATAGATAGCTACAATATTGAGTCCTATAGGCTACAAGTTATACTTGATTTACGTATTTTAGGACTGATGACTAACCGACTTCAAAAAAAGGAGGAGGTTCTCAATTCGATTGTATTTTTATTCAATAGTCAGATAAATGTTATCTGAGGAATAAAATTGTTGCTGTCACTGTCTTATAAGTACACACATTCAGACGCGAGAGCATCATAATTATTCCCCAGATAACTTTTATCTAACCATTGAAAAAAAGCCCTTAGTCGACCTTTCGCTTTAAACGATGTTGTTCTAAAATCTCGGGATACATTATTTTTATACGCGTATGAAGCCAGGGTCGGAAGCTAGTGAGTTATATTATAACCTATACATTAATGTCAGTAAAGAAACGTCAATGTGCAGGCAGCCACATGGATAGTATCAATTGAATGAAAACAAAACACTGTCGACACATTTTATTGTTTATTTTTCAATGACAACTGTAGATTTCTTACAGATGTTCTACAATAAGTTGACTGGCCAGTATTGAATCAGCGTGCAGCATCGTGTCTATCAATGACTAATTACAACATACCTACAAGTTTATAAAAGGAATGATTTAATTCATCTAAATGTGTGAATCATAGATTCTGTAAGGACGTTTTGATACTAATCTTGGTGTAGCAAGTTGCATTTTCCCTTTTTTAATTTATTTAATAGATAATAAAACACATTAGGTAATTATTTTAATAGATTTATTATAGTTTCTAAAGATAAATAAGGACATCATCGCACTTAATTGATACTTATACGACGTATAAAAAACAATTCTAGATTATATTTTAAATCACTCCGTTACTCGCGTAATCAATACTTAGCTCGAGCACCAAGCTAAATAGCACCCGATCAGACGTTCACCCCATGAAATCCAAGTTCCAGTGCCCACCGATAGATGGCAGTAAACCAAACAATACAAAAGCTCGTGAAACCGGCCCCCCGAGGCGTGGTTCGAAGAGCTTTCACCCCAGCTAAAATTTTATTGATCGGCGGCCAGAGTACCAATGCAACAGTAAATACACAGTCGTATTCGGCGTGTTTATTATTATCACTTGAGTGTTCGATAGGAGGAATATGTCCTCGATGTACAGATAAGTTATCAAGTGCCGGTGGCGACGTAAACACTGGCAGTGTAATCAGTCTGTTGCATGGTGCTCTGTCCGTCAGCCGTGCCGATTACTCAATTAACTGTGTCGTGATTAGTGATGT